ACGTCCAGCGGGAGAGTGCGGTACGTTCTGCGGGAGCCAGACATTTTGCTCTTCTCTGTTGGAACAACGCAAGTTGGAGGTCAATGACCTGCGCCCGGCGTGTAAACAAGATTGGACAGGGAGCGGCTGTAATATCAAAGGAGCCGGCGGCTTCTGCTAGCCGGGTTGATAGTTAAGTAACATCAAGGTGGTTCAAAAGCAAACCTGATAAAGAAGGAAACCCCCGTAGTTAATAGTTGAAAGTCTTGGTGGCTTGAGGCGATCGATACCGCCATGCTGTTTACTTTATATGACATACAATGCAGTGAGTGATGTGTATCGCAACGAGTTAGCTCGGTTGGTAACGCGCCAGACGGCAATCCCAGAAATTGTGAGTTCGAACCCCAGTGCATCGGATATTAACATTTTAAACAATTTTATCATTTTTAACAATTTTATCAGTTTTAACAATTTTATCAGTTTTAACAATTTTAACAATCCTGCATTTTAACAATTTCAACATTTTTTTTTGATTTTCGTTGTTTTGCTTTTAACATTCAAAAACTGATTGTTCTTACTCAAGAATGTCAATAACTTAGAATGTTAGTCTTTTGTATTTTTCCAACATACAAACCAAAATCACTTTGATGTTGTCACAAAAGTATGGAGCTGACAAGAGAGAATGAGTACGGTACTCTGCCAGTGTGAAGAATCTACAGAGGTATTACCAGTCACTAGTAGCAAGAGATAGACCACATTGAATGATGACGATGAGGACGAATCATATGGAGTACTATCATAGCTTAGTACAGAAATTCTACTGCTTTACTTTACTTTACTTTCTTTCACTCTGTACATGCAATTAGCTCACTGGCATGATTTTAAAAATAAAGGTTATGATAATCATATTATATGTATAGCTTATTCAATGTATGGCTTCATAGTTTATGTGATTGTTAATAAGGCCATGTTGATTTGATTGTATGGATGGCATCTGTGCGCGCATCGGTTTTCGTTAATTTAAAACTAAGTTTACGACATTCATACAAACATCTGGAAACTAAGCAAACATACTCTGTAAATTGATTACTGTAATTCCCGATTTTTTTTCTTACTGTACCGCAACGTAACGCAAGCAGGAGGTCAATGTTCACGGTTTTCACTGTCACCTCTGTACCGTGAACTTATCTTTACAGTTAGGAAATAATTCCTGGACTTTCTTTTTCCTGCAACTGTCACCTCCGTGAATATATAGTTCCGTGAACATGTCCATGTTTCTCAGACCGTGAAAATTTTGCTACCGTTAGTAGTAGTTGCAATTTCGTCATTAGTAGTATTTAGATACCTGCAATATGTAACTTTGAAATTGAGATAAGTGTAAAGTAAAGCTGTCGAGATTTAAAGTGCTTGTCGTTGTATCTTTGTAAAAAAAAGGGAGATAATGGCCAAGTGCCATTTTTGTAAATATCTGTCGAGATTCAAAAAGCTTGTCCTTGTATGATTGCAGTATGATTTATTCAGAATCTTCTATTTTTGTATGGGGAGGGAGATGGAGTGAAATATTACATTTGCTCCGAAGCAAATGTTGGCCTTTCTAGTTTTTTTAAGCATTTTATACCTTAGATGTACATAATGTTGGCCTTTTATTTTATTGTTGTAACTGTATCTTTTCAGTACATTGTACATTGTACATCCCAGCATTTATCCCCCCAGGGAATGAACATGCAATAAAGGTTCATTAATAGCTAGTTTCTTGTACATCTAGCACTGTGTTATACAATAGTTAGTTTCATGGACTTATAAGGACCAGGCTACCAGCTACTAGTACCACACAACATTTTGCATTTGGCCACATCCTTACAAATGGTCATTTGTCACATGTGGACAAACTATTAGGAAAGAACAGATTTCTGACAGCCTGTCACAACTTTCTGGGGTGATGGAAGCATAGAATATTAGTGTGGGGGATAATCGCAAAAGTGTTGCTACAAAGTATTTTCCAGTCAATGGGACTTTGGGTCTTTGGAGGATTGATAGTTGTGATCCCATTGTTGGATTTTAATTGCATTCAAACAGGAAATGTGTGCGTGTTACATATGGTAATACCAGCATCCTCTTCAGCACCAAGAACAGTCATGATTATCTGTCAACTGCATGCAATACTTGAATTGACACATGAGAAAGCAAGCTCTACTAGGGATACAATGTTCTCTTGTGGCTACTGGGCTCTATTCGTTACAGGTTTCAACAAGATTAGCAATATTAAGGAGAACTAAAATGACAAGAACACGTGTCAAAATGTATGGATTTGGATTTTTAGGGACAGAAATACACATGGGGGCTATGAAAATCTTGATCATGTTCAAAATCCTTTTTATCCATATTTTCCATTGCATGGCACTCTGTGAGGTGATGATCTTGTCTGTAATTTACCTGAGATTGACCCGCTGGCAGGTTCACTCCCTTAAGCCTAGCCTGTTGTATGATGACCTACAATGTTTGTGACCATGGCTTTACATGTATATGTTTAAACTATTGCCTCCTGCTTCTCAAACCTTCAATATCTGGCAAATCATTGCAGAGAAAAATAGCATCATAGTTAAATCATACAATGTGTGTGACTGGGGCTTAACTCGGATACTCATTTACTAATTTTTTTCCCAAAGGCACAACTTGGGGGGGGGCAGGAATGTTAACCTTGAACCTCTCAATTTCAGATCAGAAGATCAGGATGCCAAAAAGATTTAGATGGTGTCTTTAAGAAATCTTACTAAAAAAAAGAAATCTTACCTGCTTCTGACTAAATAGTTTGAATAAATGTTATGACCCTTTTGCCAACAGTATCCAATCCTACCCAGTCACCATTCACTGATGCCTGCATGTACGCCACCATGGATCCAGGTAAGCAATTTGTGTGCTTTGTTTTAGGGAGAAAGTACAATGTGTGTGTAAAATATTAATAGCTTTAATGAAGGTTTTGATAGCATGGTTTAATTTTAAAAAAATCTGCTGATGGGCAACCAACTAATCTTTTGTTGTACAAAGTTACTGGAGAAAGGTGCATGGTATCCATTAACAAAACACAGTCACCTATTGACAAATACCATGCCCAGGATATTCAGAACATACAATGGAGCTGATATTTGTCTGACAGGAAACCAGACACTAATGGACTGTGGCCCAGCTGTTTGGCTCTGACTTAACAAAGCAAGTGTCATTACGTATACCCACTGACAAGTATTCAAAACCCTGGCTCCCATCTAACAAGAGGGAGACATGCAAAATAGGAAAATTTGAAAAGCATAGAAAACCAGTTGTTCTTACTCTACTCAGCTGAACCACCACCATTCTCTATCTTAAACGTATTGATGAAGACCTTGGTGACAATTACATCTGCAACCATCAAGGAGTGGCAAACTGGACCATTTGCATAGTCAAGCAATAGAAATCTGCATATGTTATTACATTTTAGCTTATACAATCATGACATTGTGGCCAAAGATCTGCTATAAGTGGTTAATAGTAGACAGCCACATTTGTGTCTGTCTTTATGTTGCCACAGTCCCTGGCTGGCTAAAAGCAAATAAGATTAGATTTAATCCATTGTCATTTCATGCCATGTTACATTAGACAATAGTCTCTCTCAACATGGTATCTGGTTTAGAGGGAAAATGTTTTAATCTTTTTCCTCTAAAAAATAAATAAAAGATGTAACGTTAATATAATGTTTAAATGATTGGAAGTAAGTTTCCCAGCACATAATCCTATATACAGATATGAAGGAGGGATTCACTGTAACTCTATAGTGTCAACATACAACAGGGAAAGAAGAAAATGTACTGGCATCGCTCTAATGTTGCTGACAACATAACAGAAAGGGTGAACAGGTGTTATAGGATATCATTCTGATATGCCAAGGGGTCAATTGCTCTGATACCAATAATCCTGCTGGTGTCACAATCTACAAGAAGCCTGATACAACCTAAGGATTTCACAGCAGCCAAATGCATTTAGGTACATTTGTAAGTAGAATCAAGGCAGAAACTGTTTCAGACAATTGAAATAATTTTCCAAAAGAGCAAATCATCATATCAAGCTTCCAAGGCTTACAAAATGCAAATTTGTTCCTGTACCAACATTGCTGGCCTGGAGGAAGTCTAACCAAGTCAAATTGCTATCTATGTCATCCTTTCTTAGCTTTACATATTGATTTTGATGAAACAACAAATTGAATAGTTAGCTACATGCCACGCCATGATCAAGACTTCCCTCTGTTTACAGCATCATCTGCTAACATGTATCTGATAAGATGTATTAATTTTGCTTAATCATGAAGACTGAATTTTGTCATCCTGTTCCTTTATATTAGGTCCAGAGGTGCCCCCAGTGTACAGGTTTACAACCTGCGGTGCAAAAGGTCCCTATGGACCAACCCAAGCCCAGTGTGACACAGAATACAAGTACAAAACTGTGGAGGTTATGGTACCAGGGGAGGGACCTCTCCAGGGCATCCAGATATGGACCATACCAGAAACAGAGGTGTACAGGTACAAGGGATACCAGTCATTACCATAAAAGAATGAAACATTCTATAAAACTGTTCACTACTAGCTCTACCATGTTTAAGACTTGTAATATTCAAGACATGACACAAGTCAAGACACAACAATTTGAGAAATATGTTGATCTTGTCCTGACATACACACAGTCTTGATATATTGGGTTTATTTCCCCCAAAATACTCACACCTATTACAACTTACACATGCATACAGCATTTCTTTAAAAAAATGCCAACTTCGAAATTATATACATACATCTTCTTGTTTGCATTTGTGACATTTGTGAATTCTCAATTTTTGCTTGAAGTCCATGCCATACAGGTAGAAAATGTTCAGGAACATTCTGTCCTTTCTGTACCTGGGAGAAACTAGCTAATGGACACCAGACACGCATCACATTTTCTTTGTAGGCTGTCAGATTGTAATCATCTCCCAACCTTTGGTATTTGGTACCTTCATGTCATAATAGTCACTGGCATACCAACTCATGGGAATGTCACTAAGCTTATAATAAGGTGCTGTGAACTATGGAGATGTTTTTTTGCCTATGTATGCCATTTTTCACTGTAAATCATTTTAAGGCACAAAAACTCAATTTCTAGTCTACTCACAGATACCAAAACAGAGAATTAGGTTAGTTGCGTCAACATGTATCTATTTTGCCTATGCATACAAATTTTATCATTTACCATCTAAACTTTAACACAGTATTTGGTGATGCCGATAAGCATCCAAGTACACTTTTTCAAGGACTGATTCTCATGTGAAACAATTTTCTGCCCCGTTAATGGCCATCTTGTGTCTACAATTGCCAGCATTTCTGCCTATGGGGCTGGTGGAGGCGTAGGGGCTAAGAACACAGAACAGTCTCAGGGGGCATACATCAAGGAGAAGTTCAACCTCACTGCAGGCCAGAAGCTGTACATCCTGGTGGGACAGGAGGGGGAGAGTGCCTGCTCCAAGGTACATGTCATGTCAAGCAGTAATCTAGCTGCATTTGAATATATATTTCTATGTGTATGATTATACTCATAGTTCTGCAAAACAAACCTGGAAACCTATTTGGTTAAAAAGGTTTAGCATTTTTATGCCTCTGATAGCCAAAGTGATCTTCAAGAATTACCTTACAACTACCAAGGCTCAACTGCATTTACATGCACGTTTTAAGAGTCTTGATGCAATGACACTTCTCCCATGTAACCCTTTCCCCAATGTCCTTCTTCCCTATTCTGATTTAGTGCACGAGCCAGCAGTACACATGTAAATCATAGTTATGGAATAAGACAGATTGGCTCAGGCTTCACATCATTGCTTTGTCCTTCATTATTATGCAACCATGCCCACATGGCAATTCAATCTACATTGATTTTCATACTTTATGGTTTCATAGACTTCTGCTGGTAACTATTGTGCTTTAAAAGTCAGAAATTCTCACAAATGCTAGACCTCATGGGGAAATCTCTGATGTCAAGCTGGTATTGAATTTCCTTGTTTTCCATGCTGCCTAGGTTTTTTTACAAAATATAATTTATTGGAAAATCGGTAGAAATTCCCTTCATATGGTATGGCAACGATAGCAGAGGAGAAAGGCTGAATGTGAATTTAAGTGGGAAACTAGGCATTAAGTATTACAGTAAAGCTGTGTGACAGACTGCAGGCTGCAGGAAATACACTTAGTCTACTTTCCCTTCATTCTACAAGTACACAACACTTCAGTTTTCAGCACCATGGAAAGTATCATAGAAAGATTAAGAACAGAATTATCATACCCATGAGACTGGACTTACTCAAAATAATCTTTATCTCAGTGTTACAATCTGTTCAAATCAACATCTGAATGCAAATAGGACTTTCTGCACCTGATCCTCTGTGAGCAGAGTTACCTAGAGACAATTATTGAAGACCAATACATGATCACAGCAATTTCTTACTAGCACCTTTCCAGACCTACGATATTGACAGCATGATTGTATGATTGGATTTTAAAGCAGGATTTTTAATTGATTAAAACATTAGTTACAGACAGTCATGCAGAGGAAACGTGCATAATGAATTTCACCAGAAGCACTGTTATAAGGAAATTTCCCCGATTTCGTGAAATTTAAGTTCTCCAGGGAAAATTGAGGAAAGTACATGTACATACAATATAATTGCTTCAATCTCTCCATACATGAAAAATTTATTTTTCTAGATAATCTATAGGTTCCTTGACCTAGCATCACACTGCCAAGGACACTGTGCCCAATTTGTCGATGGCCAGAATGTTTGCAGGCATCTGGAACCGACGGTTGACAAATGTAAAACTTGCCAGTCAAGATTAGCTTTAGCCACAATACGTCAGTGCTCAGTGACATGCAAGCATTGGCCAATCCCTAAAATTTGTGCAGTGATCAAGCTTCATGAAGTGTGATGCCGGCACAGCTTAAAGAGCTACTCTCATTTCTTTAATACACAGCATGACAGTATAACACAGCTGAGAAGCAAGTTGATCGCAAGATCAATGCCACCCCATTATTTTCACCATAATCAAAAAGGCTTTTAAGGAACCATGTTCTGTCTTGGTAAGATACGAGCACTGTCAAAGGTGCCATCTTAAATTATATGATAACACAAGAGAAGCATTCCAGTCCATATATACTTCCAGAGACTAATGGACACAATGTTACTTAGAGGAGATATTGCTAAGGACTGGGAGATTATGAGACCTTTTGAGTGGCCAGGAAAGTAAGAAGAGTGGCCATGAATATGTGAAAGGCCTGTTAAAATATTTTGCAACTGGGCTTTAGAAATATTAACTATATATTTAACAAATGATTTAAAATGATGGTAATTTTTAGTTGTTCTGTTACTAACTTAAAAAATCTGTAGTTGGTTGAGGGTTGTGTTTGTATTGGAAAACATGGGTATGGCAGGTGACATCAAATGCATAATTTCCAGCACAGGTTCCTGCTCTGGGTATTGTAAACTTCTAAGAAATGACTGAAAATTTCCCCAAAAGACACTTTTTAACATTCCTTTTTTTCATCCCAATTCATTGAAGGCCCTACCTTTCAATCTGTTCATGTTCTTACAACTGTGAGCATAATTCCACTTTGATTAACACCGGTCATTGGTGACAATAATTGTATTGCCTCTGTCATGGGAGTGAGGCAATAAGCTTGCTGTTTGTGGTCTCATCAATGCATCAATTTCAATTACTAGTGTTT